CAAAAAAAAAAAAAAAAAAAAAATCAAATGGCCCTGGGACTATATAAAGGACTCATTTACGTGGAAGGTCAAATAGGAAATGTTTGGTTCTGAAACTTACTGTCTCTGTTTTTGACCCACCCATTTTTCTTTATAAATATCATCATCTTCCAAGCAACCAATATTTTAATGCTGCTTTATTTATTGTGTCCTGTAGAAAGAATTAATAAATTCATTTACATAACTTTAGTTACTTACTAGATATTTACATTTTAAAGAGTCTTTTCAAAAATGTCAGTATCTTAAGAAGAATTTTGCAATAACACATGCTAGTAAAGAAAATCATTAAGAAAATATAGGGGCCCTACTCTGTGTAGCAACTGCAAAAAGTTCATCGTGTTTAAGCCTCACAATAAGCATGTAAGATATATTTACTTTAAAGTTAAAATCTGAGATTTGACCCATTAGGGGAGTACCCAATTATCAATGGCAAAGTTGGGATTGGAGCCCAGATCTGTTTTACTCCAAAGACCATGGTATTTGCCCTTCATCATTCTATTCACTTCTGAAAAGTATAAAGTCAATGGAATGAATTCTAACAATTTCCAGCATCAGTGGAGCAAATGTTTTGGTTTGGTGGAGGGGCTGGTGGCAAAAATGTTTTCAGAAGACAGCTGCCTGTTCTGTCTACATTTAAGTGCATTCTGAGTCAGGCATTGTGATTTCTGTGCACAATGTTTTTCTTACTCACTGATTGACAATCATATATGGGAAAGGTGTGGGAGAAAAGTATATTTGTGTGTGTATGTATGTATGTGTCTTGTGTATATTCTGTGGTGGTTATGTAGGACAGTGTCCTTGTTTTGAGAAAATACATATATATAAATATATACCTATGGGAATATTTAGGTGTGATAGAAAATTATGTTAGCCATTTGCTATCAAATGATTCAGAAAATACAAATTATTATGTGTAAAAATGTATATATATATATATACACACAGACACACAAAAGACATCTATATCTATGTATGTATCTATCTACTAGAGGACAGATACATACTCATAGATGCAGCACACAAATGTGCATGATAACAATTGGGGAAACAGAGTGGAGGAGAGGTGGAGATAGTTCTTTGTACTATACCTACAATTTTTATGTAAATTTGAAAGTATTTCAAGCTAAATTATTTTTAAAAATACAAGGAGTTGCCAAAGGGACAAAGGATTTCTGGAGATGTTTAAGCAGAAACTTGGTAACTCTCTTACAGGGATATTACAGAGAATTCTTACACTGGGTGCGAGGTTTGATTGGATAATCTGTCATTTCAAACTCAGAGCATATGATTTATGAATCATAGGTTGGAGACAGTACAGTGGAATGAAATCTGAGTCACATTCTCAGAAATTTAAAGGAATGTTACAATGTTAAAGAGATGTAATATGGGTACCAAGCACCTTGTGAAGGCTCTTTTCCCCATCATCCATCTATCTATTATCCATTTATTGAAGTCATAAGCAAGGGATGGTTTTAGAAACCAGGTATTCACATATGAATAGCATACACTTCTGTTCTCAGCTTTCTGGAGTGAAGTCGCATAAAATGTAGCGGTTTATTAAGCAAAAATTAAGTGAGCCCACTACTTTTTCAGGTACAATTTGGAAATTTTCTATTAGACATGTTTCACTTTTTACCTCTGGAGATGACTTGAGGCGATTAGTCTTGAATAGTCTGGTTCATATAGACAGACCTCTTTATAGCAAGGCTATGCCGTGAGTAGCTAATTCCATCCTTAATGAACTTCAGGACTTACTCTGTGAAAGGAATTAAGAGGAGCTGTCCCACAGATATATTTAATGAGAGTAGAACTTTTAAAGATATGAGAGTCTCTTTTAATGTTATTGTTTCTAATAATTTGGAACAAAAACACAAAAAAGAAGAAAAGATGTTTAGTTATTAAGTCCTGCTCTTCTTTTGTATCTTACAGCCTTTAGTCATGTTAGATAGGAAGCAGGGTCTCATCTATCAACTGTTAATAAAACTGAAGATATTATAAACTGTTTCTGAAATTAACATTTAGATTCAATTATGTAGGATCCATTTTTCTATGGTGAAAGGAAATTGTCTCATTAAAATGGGATGTGTCATAATTTTCAGTAGGCTACCTTGTTTGTGGTATGTAGATTTACACTAAATATGATACTTTTTCTCTTTTTATAACATTTTCCTCTTATTGCTGCAAATATATGGAGCAAACTGACAGAGAAAAATTGCCTGAAATTAATACATGCTCAAATGGAAGAATTAACTTTTAAGTTTTTTATTGATGCGAGCATTTGTTTATATGTTTTTAAAGTTTGAAATTACGTGGATTTTTACTTTTTAAAAATGTTAAGAAAGGTGATGAAATTATAACTGTAACCCCTTGGTTTCTATATATTCTCAGTGGGATAATGATGGTAGTCAAATTCATGCCAAACCACTTTGGCTCTTATTAATGAATAATATTTTTCCTGATTGTCTAGGGGGCAAAATAAAGTTGTAGAACAGATTTGTGAAAATATTTAAAAAGTTTGCAGTAATATTTTATGGACAATTATTGTATCTTTATTGTTTATTATTAATTGTTATATCTTTATTATTAATTGTTGTATTTTGTTAATAAAGAGCTTAAACCAGGAAGGGGAAATTCATGGCTGTCACTTTTTACTCCCTAAGAGACAGGAAAATGAACATTCTGCTTGAACTGCTCCAATATAAGGTCCTTACAGAACAACTTCATTAAATGATCTTAATAAGACAGAGTGGCTGTCTCTGCCATTGGGAGGAAAAGCAATGCTTGGTTCCTGGATAAATTACATTATGATCTGAGTAGTATACAGACATAATAATTTGGTAGCTGAGAGTATTGGTGATGGATGTTTGCTGGTGTCACTACACAGGTAGAAGAGCATTGATTGAATGGTAGTCTTGGGCACTCAGATTTATTGTTTATATGTCACAGTGTAGAACAAGTAGGATAATAGTGTTTTGTGTTGTACAACTCTTCTTTTCAGAAAACTATCTCTATTAGTGTTCAGTTAAAGCTAGAATAGAGTTTGCTTATGTTAGATTAAGTAATATTAGAATATAACTCAACATTTAGAAAACATTTGAGAATGCCTAAATGGACTGTTAAGAATTTTTGTTAATTAGGAGACTATGGCCTATAATGGTCATCAGGCATCTCAGACTCATCATTAAGTTATAATCCTATTAGGACACTGAAAGACATTAACATGGTCCTTATGAAGATTTTAAAAATGAATTCCTTTTAAAGCTATAGACACTCATTTTATTTATTTCTCATGGTTTACCATAAATAATGTTAAATCTGGTCATCAATTTGTTAAATTGTGACCTAAAAGTGACATATTTGTTAAATACTTGTTAAAAGTGACATATTGGTTAAATTGAAACTAGACTAAATTTTCCATTTCTTTCTTCAGAGGCCACTGGTGAATAACACAACATATTTAATATCTGATTGCCATTGAGGTGATTGATTTGAACTACAAAAATGAGATAAAATTATGTATCCATTTGTATTATATATCCATTACAATGAATGTATCCATTCAATTATGTATCCATTTTTTTAAATGACCTGTTTGTAGAGAAAATCATGTATAATTTTAAAAGCACATAAAAGTATCACAAACATTGATTATCAAATTACCTATGGTTAATAGTATTATCTTAATATAATTTGGTAAGTCAATAATTTTAATCTGGTCTTTTTGCTCAGTATAAAGACTATATTTCTTCAATATTTAGTCTTTTTTC